TTTTTTGTATTTTTTAATAGAGACAGGGTTTCCCCATGTTGGCCAGGCTGGTCTCGAACTCCTGACCCCAAGTGATCCTCCCGCCTTGGCCTTCCAGAGTGCTGGGATTACAGGTGTGAGCCACTGTGCCTGATGATAGATTTCTTAAAGGGAACATACTATTTTTCTTCTAAACATTTTTAAACCACCAAATGAAATTTATTATCCTTTAAATAACTTTACTGGGGTTTGTTTAAAGTAGTTTAGCTATACCAATTATTTCTTTGTTTTCAAAGGGAAAAAGGATTGCCTAAACAAAAATAGGTGCAGTCACCTCATGTTGAATTCACAATCAAGACAAAATATTTGTTGATGCCCACTATTTCTAATGTAATATAATAGTATTTTTCATACTTTAAAAATAATTAATTTTTCATATATGTTATTTAATGTATGAGGTTGAAATACCAGGTTGCCAGTCTTCAACAGTTTTTGACCTATAAAATAGTTTTTGATGTATAAAAATGTCAGTTTTATACAGTTTTAACCTAATTTGTGATTTTAGAGACTCTTAAATTCTCTTAGAATTTTAGTCACTTGAAAATTCATCTTCGTAGTAGGCATTTTGTATATAAACATTTAAATATTGAATGTATATCCTTTAATCTGAAATTTCCCTTTTAATGCGATGAGGTGAATTTTGTGACACAGGTGATTATAATGCTCAGTGAGAAAGGCAGGAGACAGAATATGTATGGTTAGTTTGGCTAAATTGTTATAAAACAAGAAGGAAACGTGTAAAACATTACGATATTGTTAACTCTTATTTTATGTGCATTTGAAGGTGTAAGATAACCACATTTATATGTTTCAGTCAGTCGTTCTGAGGTAAACTTAAGTGATTCCCATTTATGTGTGCAGTTGCATGAGTTTAGACAAAAGTGGAACATTTCTATCACCCTAAAAAGTTTCCTGTTCCCCTCTGCAGTCAGTCCACGCTCTGCTCCCAGCTTCCTGTAGTCCTGATGTACTTTCTGTCCCAACAGTTTCGTGTGTTCTAGACTTTTCATACAAATGGAGGCATAGAAAATGCAGGTTTTGATTGTCTGCTTTCTTTCATGTAGCATAGCCATGCTTTTTTTTGTGTCAGTGGCCTGTCCCTTTTGTTGCTAAAAAGACTGAGGATACCACAGTTTGTTCATCCATTTGCCAGTTGATGGACATTTGGGTCATTTCCAGGATTTGACTAGTAGGAATAAAACTGAACATTTGCTTATAATTTTTTCTGCGTAATTAAATTTTCCTCCATCTTAAGTAAATACCTGAGAGGAGGACTCTTGGTCCTGTTGTAAGTATATGTTTAACTTTATAAGAAGCTGCTTTTCAAAGTGACTGTACAGTATTTTACATTCCCACCAGCAATATCTGAGAGTTTCCATTGACACCATTTGGTACTGTTGTCACCTTTTGAAAATGTATCTGTTCTCATGGGTGGGTGTAGTGGTCTCTCATTATGATTGGAATCTGCATTTCTCTGGTGGCTGGTGATAGGAAGCATCCGCGTGCGCTTATTGGTCATTCCCGTATCTCCTTTTTATTGGTTTATTAATCTTACTGACTGGTCGTTCTTTTTTTTTTTTTTTTTTGAGACGGAGTCTCGCTCTGTCGCCCAGGCTGGAGTGCAGTGGCCGGATCTCGGCTCACTGCAAGCTCCGCCTCCCGGGTTCCCGCCATTCTCCTGTCTCAGCCTCCCGAGTAGCTGGGACTACAGGCGCCCGCCACCTCGCCCGGCTAGTTTTTTGTATTTTTAGTAGAGACGGGGTTTCACTGGGTTAGCCAGGATGGTCTCGATCTCCTGACCTCGTGATCCGCCCGTCTCGGCCTCCCACAGTGCTGGGATTCCAGGCTGAGCCGCCGCGCCCGGCCTGACTGGTTGTTCTTTATGGATTCTGAGTACAGCCCATTGTCAAATGTGTTTTGCAAGTATTTCCTCCCAGTCTATAGTTGGGTTTGCATTTTTATGAATCTCTTTTAAAGAGCACAATTTTGAACTTTTAAGGGCCTTTGTCTAAAATCAACTGACCTTATAAGTGAGTTATTTCTGGACTCTGTTCCATTCTGTTAATCTGTGTCTATCTTATGCCAGTACCATATGGTCTGAATTATCATAGCTTTATAGAAGTCTTGAAATCCGGCAGTGCACATCCTCTATCTTTGTTACTTTTTTTCAAAATTGTTTTCAGGCAGACATGGTGACTCACGCCTGTAATCCCAGCATGTTGGGAGGCTGAGGCAGGCAGGAGTTCGAGACCAGCCTGTGCAACATAGTGATACCCTGGCTTTATGGAAAAACATTTGTTTTAGCTAGTTGAAATCTTTTGCATCTCCATATAAATTTCAGCCTCAGTTTATCAATTTTCATGAAAATTTATGGTTGGGATTGTGTTGAATTTATAGGTTAAGTTGGAAAGAACTGATACCTTAACAATAATGAGTCTTCCATTCCAACCTGGTTTAACTGTTCATTTATTTAGGTCTTATCTTTCAGCAGCGCTTTGTAGTTTTCTTTACACACATTATACGAATTTTATTCCTAAGTATTTTATGTATTTTCATGCTACCATAAATGGCATTTTACAATTTTAATTTCTAAATTATGTATTGCTACTCTAAGAAAATACAGTTGATTTATTAGTATTTTACTTTTTTTTTTTTTTTTTGAGACGGAGTCTCACTCTGTCACCAGGCTGGCCTATAGTTTTCTTATCATTGTAAGAAATGATATGATTTGTCGATGTAATACTGGCCTTATGGGCCTGGTGTGGTGGCTCACGCCTGTAATCCCAACACTTTGGGAGGCCGAGGTGGGTGGATCACGAGGTCAGGAGATCGAGACCATCCTGGCTAACACGGTGAAACCCCCGTCTCTACTAAAAATACAAAAAATTAGCCAGGCATGTTGACAGGTGCCTGTAATCCCAGCTACTTGGGAGGCTGAGGCAGGAGAATGGCATGAACCCAGGAGGTGGAGCTTGCAGTGAGCCGAGATCGTGCCACTGCACTCCAGCCTGGGCGACAGAGTGAGAGTCTGTCTCAAAATAAATAAATAAAAATAAATAAATAAATACTGGCCTTATGAGTTGGGAAGTGTTCCCTCTTGTTAAATTTTTTGGAAGAGTTTGCATAGAATTAATATTTTTTATTCCTTAAATGTTTAGTAGAATTCACTAGTGAAAGTGACTTGGGTCTGGAAAGTTTTTAATACAAATTCAATTTCTTTAATTGATAGAGAACTATTCAAGTTTTCTATTTCTTTGTCAGGCACAGTGGCTCATGCTTGTAATTCCAGCACTTAGGGAGGCTGAGGTGGGTGGATCAGCTGAGGTCAGGAGTTTGAGACCAGCCTGGCCAACATGGTGAAATGCTGTCTGTACTAAAAATACAAAAGAAAATTAGGAGGGTGTGGTGGCGCACGCTTTTAATCCCAACTACTGAGGAGGCTGAGGCAGGAAAATCGCTTGAGCCCGGGAGGCGGAGGTGGCAGTGAGTGGAGATCGCGCCACTGTACTCCAGCCTGGGCGACAGAGTGACAGTCTCAAAAACAAAAAAATTAGCTGGGCCTGGTGGCACACACATATAATCCCAGCTACTTGCGAGGCTGAGGCAGGAAAATCGCTTGAGCCTGGGAGGCGGAGGTGGCAGAGAGTCCAGATCGTGCCACTGCAACTCCAGCCTGGGCAACAGAGCAAGACTCTATCTCAAAAAAAAACCCAAAAAACAAAAAAAACTATTCAAGTTATCTGTTTCTTCTTGAGTAATCTTGGGTAGTTTGTGTTTTTGAAGGAATTTGTTTCATAAAAGTTGTGAAATTTATTGGCAAAAAGTTGTTCTATACTCTCTTCACATCCTTTAATACCTGTAGGATCTGTGGGATGTCCGCTCTTTCAGTTCTGATACTGAGAGTTCACGTCTTCTTTTTTTCTTGACTTCAAGAAAATTTGTTTTCAAAGAACCAGCTCTTGATTTCATTATTCTTCTCCATTGTTTGTTTTCTCCTTCCTCAGTTTCTGCTCTAATCTTTATTTTTTTTTTCCTTTCTTCTTCTTACTTGGGTTTCATTTGCTCTTGTTAATTTGCTTTACAAATCATTAACTCTGTCAGCATCTGTGACCTTCGATCTGTGTCTCATCAACTCAGCAAGACGTTGGACTGTGTTTGAATTTCTTTTCCCTGTACTGCAGTCTGGGAATTTCCTTCAAGCAGGAAGCTCTAGCAAATGCAGGCTCACCTTGTTTGTTTCTGGGACTGTAGGTCTGCACTGCCAATTGTCCAACGTCTGAAAAACAGCTCTTTTATATCTTTTGTCCAGTTTCCTGGTTGTTTATGGTGGAAGGGCAATTCCTGTAGTAACTCATCTTTCATGGGTTGAAGCAGAGGTCCTTTACAAACTTTTTAGAATAATCAGAAGAAATAAATTCTGTCTCTTTACCTTTTAATCAGTTCAGTCCAACTTTCCCACATTCCTTCTTCTGGATTTGTTTTTACTCGAGAACAAATCGATTTCATGATCTGTTGAAACTCATTATCTATCCTTAAATTACTTGCAGATGAGGACATCTCACAATATAGGTTCATGCTGGATCTTATAAGTTCTCTTAGTATGATGTTTTTGTTGTTCTTTATTTTCTAATTTCTGTCCTAGAGCTAAACGGCCTTCGTTGTAAGCATGACAGATGAGACTGCTTTACTCAAATATTTAATATACAGCCCCGAAGCACTGGAGAGGCTAAGTGCGTTTATATATATATATATATATTTTATTAAGTTGCCTTGGCCTTGTTTTCCATCATTAGATTTGGTCTTTGTCTAAATACATTATATGCAATTCTTGTTATTTTTCGCCTGTGACCTTACTCAGTGTTTGTTTGTTACTATTCTCAGCTTATTCACTTGAATAAGCTTAGTTTAAAATTTTAACCACATAAACAGTATTTACTTGTCTGATTTTTTTTTCCCCCTAGATGGTATAGCTGTATGCTGGGAAAGAAATGCAGCCTGGCGCCTCTGAAGGAAGAGCTTCGTATACAAGGGGTGAGGCTTCCTCATTACTGTTCTCACGTAGCTACTTTTCTTTGTATCCATGGGGCACAAGTACAGGTTTGCTACATTGATATATTGCATTGTGGTGAAGTCAGGGCCGTCAGTGTTAACTATCACTGGAACAATTAAGCAACTTCCCATCACCCGGTCTCCCACTCCCCAACCACAAGTCTTCATTCGTCCATCATTCCATACTTTGCTTCCATGTGTACACATTATTTAACTGGTACTTAGAAGTAAGAACATGTGGTGTTTGTCTTTCTATGTCTCAGTTGTTTCACGTAAGATAATGGCCTCCAGCTGGCTGGGCACTGTGGCTCACGCCTGTAATCCCAGCACTTTGGGAGGCCAAGGCAGGTAGATCTCGAGGTTAGGAGATTAAGACCATCCTGGCTAACATGGTGAAACCCTGTCTCTACTAAAAATACAAAAAAAGTAGCCGGGTGTGGCGGTGGGCACCTGTAGTCCTAGCTACTTGGGAGGCTGAGGCAGGAGAATGGCATGAACCCGGGAGGCGGAGCTTGCAGTGAGCCGAGATTGCACCACTGCACTCCAGCCTGGGCAACAGACTGGACACAGGCTGTCTCCAGACAGACTCCGTCTCAAAAAAAAAAAAAAAAAGATAATGGCCTCCAGTTCTATCCATGTTGCTGAAGACACAATTTCATTCTTCTTTATGGCTGAATAGTATTCCATTGTATGTGTATACTACATTTTTTTTTTTATCCAATCCTTCGTTGATGGATACTTAAGTTAATTCAAGTCCAGATATCTTTTCTTTCTTTTCTTTTTTTTTTTTTTTTTTTTTTGACCAGGTCTAGCTCTGTTCCCAGGCTGGAGTACAGTGGTGGGATCATGACTCACTGTAACCTTGACCTCCTGGGCTCAACCCATCCTCCCGCCTCAGCCTCCTGAGTAGCTGGGACTCTAGGCACATGGCACCATCCCTAGCTACTTTTTTTTTTTTTAGTAGTGATGGGGTCTTGCCGTGCTCCCCAGGCTGGTCTCAAACTCCTGGGCTCAAGCAGTCCTCTCACCTCAGCCTCCCAAAGTGCTGAGATTACAGGTGTGCACCGTTGTACCCCACCTAATGAGTTCTTTTCCTTTGGAACCAAGTCTCCTAGTATTTTGTATACTTTCAGGTATTACATTCAAGTCTTTAGTCCATCTTGAGGTTATTTTTCATATATCTACTTTTTTCTTTTTTTTTAGAAATGGGGTCGGGCTAGGTGCAGTGGCTCACGCCTGTAATCCCAGCACTTTGGGAGGCTGATGCAGGCGGATCACAAGGTCAAGAGATCGAGACCAACCTGGGCAACATAGTGAAACCCCATCTCTACTAAAAATACAAAAATTAGCCGGGCATGGTGGCGGGCAGCTGTTGTCCCAGCTACTTAGGAGGCTGAGACAGGAGAATCACTTGAACCTGGGAGGCAGAGGTTGCAGTGAGCTGAGATTGTGCCACTGCACTGCAGCCTGGTGACACAGCTAGACTCCATCTCAAAAAAAAAAAAAAAAGAAAAAGATGGGGTCTTGCTCCGTCAACCAGACTGTAGTGTGGTCACATGATCGTAGTTTGCTGCAACCTCAAACTTCTAGGCTCAAGCGATCCTCCCACTTCAGCCTCCCAAGTAGCTGGGACTGTTGGCACACACCACCACGCCCAGCTAATTTTTAAATCTTTAGTAGAAACAAGGTCTCTGTGTTGCCCAGACTGGTCTCAAACTCCTGCACTCAAGTAATCCTTATTTTTTATAAAGATAGGGTCTCGCTGTATTGCCCAGGCTGGTCTCAAACTACTGGCCTCAAGTGATCCTCCCACCTTGGCCTCCCAAAGCGCTGGGATTACAGACATGACCCACGCACCTGACCTGTGTCTACTCTGATGATAGTTTTGAGTATAGAATTTTCTTTATACTCTAAAACTCTAAATATTTTTTTTGTTTTGTTTTCTAAGTTCTATATTTTTAGGGCTAAAATGTATTTTTTATAGATTATTAAAACAAGGCCTTTTTTGACAATTATAACAGAGAAAGGTGGAGAAAAACAGATGAGTAGAATGTCAGAGAGAGGTCGGGCGCGGTGGCTCACGCCTGTAATCCCAGCACTTTGGGAGGCCGAGACGGGCGGATCACGAGGTCAGGAGATCGAGACCATCCTGACTAACATGGTGAAACCCCGTCTCTACTAAAAATACAAAAAAAAAAAAAATTAGCCGGGCGCGGTGGCGGGTGCCTGTAGTCCTAGCTACATGGGAGGCTGAGGCTGGAGAATGGCGTGCACCTGGGAGGCGGAGCTTGCAGTGAGTAGAGATCGCGCCACTACATTCCAGCCTGGGCGACTGAGCGAGACTCCGTCTCAAAAAAAAAAAAAAAAAGAATGTCAGAGAGACACCGGAAATCAAAAAACCTGGTATCTACCACTGACTTCACATCGAACTCCTTTTTATTTTTAATTTTTTTTAATTTTTATTTTTTACCATGCCTCCAAGACAAGTTCAACTCACTCCTTTATAGATCCAGAAACTCAAGCTAGGTAGGTTTAAGGTTTTGTTGTGGGCCATGCAGTTAGCTCTGGGAGAACAGCACCAGAACACAGTCTCGGTCCCGTGTGCTTCCCGCTAGGATGACATTCCGACATTTCACAAGAGTAGAGCCCCCTGCTCCTGTTTCAGAAGGCAGATCACAAGTAAGTACTCCCAGGCGGGGTTAGAGTGGCTCATGTCTATAATCACAGCACTTTGGGAGGCTGAGGCGGGCAGAATGCTTGAGCCCAGGAATTCAAGACCAGCCTGGGCAACACAGTGAAATCCCATCTCAACAAAAAAATACAAAAAATTAGCCAAGTATGATGGCGCGTGCCTGTAGTCCCCACTACTCAGGAGGCTGAGGTGGGAGAATCCATTGAGCCTGGGAAGTCGAAGTTACAGCAAGCTAAGACCACACCACTGAACTACAGTCTGGACGACAGAGCGAGACCCTGTCTCCCAAAACAATTTTCTTTTAAATAAAATAAATGCTTCCCCCGCCACTTCCACTTTCCTCCCAGTTTCTGGTATTTGGTGTGAGTCAGAGGACTTCTCAGCAAAAGCGTCAGATGCACATCGGTGGGAGGAGCAGAGTTTCTGGTCTCTGGTTTCTCTCTGACATCCTATTCTTTCTTCCTCTTTTCCTCACAATACCATTTCTTGGGTAAATTGTGGGAGCTACAAACTTGTTCCTTTACCTTTCTTAAAATCTGATTGATAAAAGAGATTACCTATCTGTATCTAGCCAGGCTTTAGTTGGCTTTCTTTCTAGAAAAGAAAACAAAAAATCATTTGAGGCCACTTATGGTGACTCACACCTGTAATCTCAGCACTTTGGGCGGCCAAAGTGGGCGGATTGCTTGAGGTCAGGAGTTTGAGACCAGCTTGGCCAAGATGGTGAAACCCCGTCTCTATTAAAAATACAAAAATTAGCTGGACATGGTGGCACTCACGTGTAATCCCAGCCACTCGGGAGGCTGAGGCAGGAGAATTGCTTGAATCTGGGAGGCAGAGGTTGCAGTGAGCCGAGACCGCACCACTGCACTCCAGTCTGAGTGACAGAGTGAGACTCTGTCTCAAAAAAAAAAAAAAAAAAAAAACCACTCACTTGAGTCATATTACAAATAAGAGCTCTAAAGAGCTGTGTTTTTGGTGTTTCATATATTTGAACCTTTAAGTCACATCTATAAATTCTCTTATGTTTTATGGGAGAAAAAAATACAACTTTATTGAGAGATGAGTTATCATTAGGTAGCTGTGTATAACTGTTGTTTGATAATATTGTCTGTTAGCTGATTAAAAAGAAGGATCAACATAATATAGCATGAGGCGGCAGCCAGAAACATATTGGTAGAATGATTTCAGTTTGATGGATGCTATCTTTGTTGGTTTCAGGTTCCTAAAGTCACCTACACTGAATTCTGTCAAGGTCGGACGATGAGATGGGCCTTAGCTTGGAGTTTTTATGATGATGTAACAGTACCAGTAAGTACAGACCTTGCTCAGCTTCGCCACCTGCCAGCACATGGTGGGTTTCGGTCAGTCACAAGTGAACTGAATCACTAGTGTCCTGTTTAACTGAAGTTTGCTCCAAATACTTATGTCAAAATGGAAAGGGGTTGTCACCAAGACACCTAGAAGGCTGGTCCTGGAGACCGTGGAGCCTTCCTCTGTGAGTTTGTGTAACACAGTGGTATTTGCTCAGCAGACAGAAATGTGTCTTTTAGGAATTAAAAATGTGGCCGGGCACGGTGGCTTATGCCTGTAATTCCAGCACTTTGGGAAACTGAGCTGGGTGGATAACTCGAGGCCAGGAGTTTGAGACCTGCCTGGCCAACATGGTGAAACCGTGTCTCTGCTAAAAATACAAAAATTAGCTGGACGTGGTGGTGCACACCTGTAATCCCAGCTACTAGGGAGGCTGAGGCACGAGAATTGCTTGAACCAAGGAGACAGAGGTTGTAGTGAGCTGAGACTATGCCACTGCACTCCAGCCTGGGCCACAGAGTAAGACTGTCTCAAAAGTATTAAAAATAAAATATTTTGCTGGGCGTGGTGGCTCAAGCCTGTAATCCCAGCACTTTGGGAGGCCGAGATGGGCGGATCACGAGGTCAGGAGATCGAGACCATCCTGGCTAACACGGTGAAACCCCGTCTCTACTAAAAATACAAAAATTTAGCCGGGCGTGGTGGCGGGCGCCTGTGGTCCCAGCTACTCAGGAGGCTGAGGCAGGAGAATGGCTTGAACCCGGGAGGCCGAGCTTGCAGTGAGCCGAGATCGCGCCACTCACTCCAGCCTGGGTGACGGAGCGAGACTCCGTCTCAAAAAATAAATAAATAAAATAAAATAAAATAAAATATTTTTTAAAAAACAAAGGCTGGGCCCGGTGGCTCAAGCCTGTAATCCCAGGACTTTGGGAGGCCGAGACGGGCGGATCACGAGGTCAGGAGATTGAGACCATCCTGGCTAACACGGTGAAACTCCGTCTCTACTAAAAAAAAATACAAAAAACTAGCCGGGTGTGGTGGCAGGCGCCTGTAGTCCCAGCTACTCGGGAGGCTGAGGCAGGAGAATGGCGTGAACCCGGGAGGTGGAGCTTGCAGCGAGCTGAGATATGGCCACTGCACTCCAACTTGAGTGACAGAGCGAGACTCCATCTCAAAAAAAAAAAAGAAAATTGAGGTAACATAACCTGTAGAAACATTTTGCAGGTATAATTACGCTGGTGGACATTCCTCAGGAATTGAAAGTGAGGTCTCTTTCTTTTCCTTACCACTGCCGCTTTCCTAGAATAGCTGCTCCTGGGGCTCCTGGAGAATGCAGAAGTTGACTTTTTGGATTGCAGGTTTTGATGTGTAACACTCGGGGACCATTCTAATGAAGGGTTCTATCTCGACTTTCAGATTCGCACCAGAATGTTAATCATTTTTGAAGCTGGGTGATAGATCATTATCTCTTTCTATTTTGTGTATGCTAGAACATTTTCTGGAATAAAAAGTTTAAAGAAATGATTTGTCACCAGACCCGGTGGCTCACACCTGTGATCTCAACACTTTGGGAGGCCGAGGCGGGCTGATCACTTGAACTCAGGAGCTGGAAACCAGCCTAGGCAACATGGTGAAATCCCATCTCTACAAAACATACAACAATTTTTGTATTTTGATGGCGCATGCCTGTAGTCCCAGCTGCTGGGGAGGCTGAGGTGGGAGGATCACTTGAGCCTGGCAGGTGGAGGCTGCAGTGAGCCCCGATCGTGTCACTGCACTTTCTGCACTTCAGCCTGGGGCAACAGAGTGAGACCCTGTCTCAAAAAAAAAAAAAAAAAAAGATTTGTTCACAAATGTCTCTTTGTCCTCAGTGCTGCTATAGGTAAAGGGAAACCGCCTCTGGGCTGGCCTGACTGAATGATCTGGGCAGTGCTGAGAGGCAGTGACAGAATAGCTGCTGTTGGTTCTCACAGTTCCCTCCCAGGTGTGGTTGGCTTCTTGTTGCCTGGAGATTCCCAACTGAAGCGTCTGCACACCCTGCTCAGCACGTGCTCTTCCTTTCCTTAGTATGTGCAGGGACCCGACACCTGCTGCTTTACGTCTCTCCTCAGCGTCTACGGCAGGCTTGTTCTGGGTGCTGCTCTCCCAAGCTCTTGGCCACTCTTGGTCTCTAAAGTCATCTTACCTGTTGCTGTGTGTCTGAGTCTCTTTCCCTGCCCTTGTAGGGTAGAGGAGTAGAGACATGTAGCACAGGGGAACAATTTGCAGATACTGCCATGTTTCTGAAAACAGGAGCTTACATTCGAGGTTGAGCCTGTCCTGCTCTGCAGCTAGAAGTGCTGCTGGGTTGAAGTACACTCCCCAGTGCCATTTGAATGGCCCTTTCCCTGAAGCGTAGACTCCTGGCCAGTGCAGTAAGGTATCTAGAGGTCTGTGTTTGAAATAGTCTCTGCTTAAAAAGATGCTTCTCCTTGTTTAACACCCCTCACCACCCCAAAGGATTATCCTTTCTGTCATTTTCTAGAATACCAGGGCCCTCACGCCACATGGTTAAAATCATTAGTAATGCTCTGAGTTAGCCCCGTGGAGGCACAGCTGCAGGAAAGTGGAACTGCACCTGTTTTCAACTGCTTTCTGCTTAACCCACCTCCCCCATGGGTCAGCACCGCAGGTGGAAGAGCGGATAATGCGCCCTGGCACTCCACACCGGCTCGGAGACCGAGTCCTCCTGGCCCTCCTGGATGAGTAGTAATGTCAGGTCCACGTAGTAAAGGGCACTGCTTCTGTGTTAACAAAACCAGCTTATTTTGAAAAGGAACCCCCTACGCTTCCCTCTCCTTCTCTTCTCTGTTTTGGGGCATCCTTCAGCCCCGTTCTTAGTTCTCAACCATCAGAATGCTAAGGGCCCCAGATTTCCCCCATGCCAGAGTCTTCCTCCCTCCCCACCAGTACCCCAGCCCCAAAAGCTGCTAATAATGCACTCCCAAGTGTTCCATTAGACGCACTTCAACCGCTACAGGAAAAAACGGCAATTCCTGATTTGTAGTAACCCAGCAACAGTTTCTTAGTGCTGCTGCCCTTGATCAGCAACTGCTTTCCCCAGGGGGTCGTCCCAGGGTACTCATGAGGCTTGTATTTGGCGGTCCTCTTGGTTCTCTTGCTCTTCCTAGACCTCTCTCCCCACCCTCGTTTTCTGAAAAGCCCATCTGACTTTCCCCCTCTTGCTCCTGTTGGGGGTGAGGAAGGAGGAGAATGGTGCTTTAGACAAGGAATAGAGCTAGTTAAGCAGAAACATTGACCTATTTCCCCACCCCCACTCCCGCCATTTTAGGGTAAATGTGCAAGTTACTATGGCAACTTCTGTTTTCACTTATCACAGGCCTCCTGATTCGTTTCTGTTGGTGCTGAATGCTGAAAAATTCTAATTCACTGGTGATTCAAGTGTCCACACTCAGCCCATTCCTGTTGTCTGGATTTATTTTAGCAACAAAAAGACAGGTCCTAATGTTGATAGAATTTCGTTCCATAATTTCAACTAATGATGAATATAAGGAAGCGTGTTCTACAAACTGTTCTCTGCGGAATTCTAACAAGCCACTTACCTCTTTGTTCCAGCTCTCCCCTCATTGCCCAAGGCATTATTTTAGCTTTATTTTGGTTTGCTTTAAGGAAGTTTGACGTTTGTTAAGAGAAAAGGGGGAAAATGCAGCCCCAGTGAGTTGTTCACTCTTGGTATGAGCGCTGCTCAGGAACTCTGGGCTTAAAAAGGATCCTCCACATTGAAGACATTACCTTTAAGCCTGGGACGTGACTGTCTAGGGAGTAAGAACTAGAGGGCTTTTTGGAGAGCAGATGGAGGAGAGGTGTCAAATTAATTAGGCAACTTTGTGCGTGTTGGAGGTGGTGTCCTGGCAGAGCCTGGCTCCCTTCTCCATAGGTTTTCAGTCCTGTCACATAGCTGAGGGATGCCGTGCAGGGGCCCAGGGTGGGGCAGATATCAGGCTGGTACTGGAGGCCTCCCTCTCATTTTAAAGAGCTCATCTGCTTTTATCAATTTTATGCATTGATTTATTTGTTAAAAGTGTCCTGCTGTTAAGAAATGGTTTGGGCTGGCTGTGGTGGCTGATAATCCCAGAACTTTGGGAGGCTGAGGCGGTGGATCACCTGAGGTCAGGAGTTTGAGTCCAGCCTGGCCAACATGGTGAAACCCCATCTCTACTAAAAATAGAAAAGTTAGCTGGGTGTGGTGGTGCGCGCCTGTAATTCCAGCTACTGGGGAGACTGAGGCAGGAGAGTCGCTTGAACCTGCAAGGCGGAGGTTACGGTGAGCCGAGGTCACGCCACTGCCCTCCAGCCTGGATGACAGAGCGAGACTCAGTTTCAAAATAAAAAAAAGAAAGAGTGAGTTTGAAAACCAGTACTGTACTGGGCTGTGCATTATGCTACCAAATGGATGTGATGGCCAGGGGCCTGAGCTCTTGAGCAAAGCCAAAGCTTATTAGGACCCTCTTCTTAGTTACTTTTCTTCTTAAGTGTGGTCTTCATTGTGATGATAAACAAATCAGACATTGTTTTCTGTTCTTTACAATGATCAGTTTTATAGGAAAGAAAACATGTAGCGCTACTGATGCAAATTCGCATATGAGTGAGTGTTGACATGAATGGTAGCAGCAAGAGTGGCCAGGAGTTGAGAAAAGGAAATGGCTCAGGCTGGGGCTAGTCAGGGACAGCTTTCCGAGGAGGAGTCGCCAGTGTCTGGCTGTAGGCAGGTGGGTGGTGCTCCCAGTGTTTGTGGAATGTTTAAAGGAATGGTGTAGGACTTACATTGAAGATCAGCATTGTGAGCAAGAACCGGTAGATTTAGTAGATTTGAAGCACTGGATATAATATTTGTTGTTATTTGAGTACTTCAATACATTATATTCTCATTTTATTTCCACCTGACAGCAGTCGAGTGAAGTAGATGGTATTACTCTCCATCTACTGGAGGCTCCAAA